AGCCTAGCAACATACAGACTCAGCCTGTAAAGACTAGCTATCGCTATCAAAGATTGATGGGAAAGACCTTTAAAATCATCCAAGTTTTTTTTTAAATTCTCACAAAGCAGCTGTCTCTAATCTTAACTGAATTTCCTAAGTAGACCTCCTCAAGAAAAGAAAATGAAGTGACTGGCAGACGGGAGTCTAATTACAAGTTAGATTTCTTATGATAAACTAATAAACAGTGGCATTCTTATGAGTTTGGTTAAAGCAAATCAGTTCAAGAAAATAATTCCTAGGTTGAATGAATGAAGAGTTGGCTCCAGTCCCTGTTTATGAAGAAGAATTTGGAGCACAGAAAAAGTAGGACAACCATAAAGGCTGCTCTCTTTATTCAACTTAATACCTTAAAAACTCAAGAGATACGAAATAAAGTCATAAAACTAAAGATCAAGGGTAACCTGGTTTGAAATGCCTCTTTTGTGTTTTTATCTATAGATGGTTACAAAACACAAACTATAAAGTTCAGCAAATACAGTTAAAAGAGCTGCTGCTTTAGAGCCAGAGGCCTAGAAGTAATGGTCTATCCACTTCAACCAGTACACAACACTACACATTTCAGAAAGAACTTTGGAGGGTGGAAGAACACTGGACTGGGAGGCTAAAGATCTGGATTTTAGGCCCCGATCGTCTAGGCTCACTTGCTAACAAACTGAAACCCTTGTACCTTTCACTCTAGCTATACCAGATGTTTTGCAGGTTCACACGTCAATATACACCAATGTATACTCAAACACGTTAGCTATTATCATTATTACTATTCCCTAAAAGCATCATGCTATTTCTTATTCTGAGTCTTCACATCTGCTATTCCCTTGGCCTGGAATACCTTTTAGTCCTTCAATAACCAAGTCAAGCCTTATCCAGTTCTGCTTATTACATTTCCACTTCCTTTTAAATAACCCCAGTCATAGAAAAAACAATCCTAAAATTCATATGGAATGACAAAGGACTCTGAATAGTCAAAATAGTCCTGAGAAAGAACAGCAAAGCTTGAGGCATCACACTTCCTGACTTAGAGACATATTACAAAGCTACAGTAATCAAAGCAGTACGGTACTGGCATAAAGACAACCACATAGACCAATGCAACAGAAGAGAGGGCACAGAAATAAACTCACACATATACAGATCTTCGGCAAGAGTGGCAAGACTACACAATGGGGAAATGATAGTCTCTTCAACAAATGGTGTTGGAAAAACTGGATATCCACATGCAAAAGAATGAAACTGGACCCTTAGCTTACACCATACACAAAAACGAATTCAAAATGACTTAACTAAAAATAAGTTAAATGTGGGAATTCCCTGGCAGTCCAGTGGTTAGGACTCCATGCTTTCACTGCCAAGGGCCGTGGTTTGATCTGGTCAGGGACCTAAGATCCCAAAAGCCATGCAGCACAGCCAAAAAAAAAAAGTTAAATGTGAGACCTGAAACTATAAATATACTAGAAGAAAATGTAGAGGAAAAGCTTCATGACATAGTCAATTTTAAAACATTTTCATCACCCCAAAAGAAACCCCATACCCATTAGCAGTGACTCTCCATTTCCCCATCCCCCCAGCACTTGACAACCACAAATCTACCTTCTGTCTCCATAGATTTGCCTATTCTAGACATTTCAAATAAACAGAATAATTAAATATGTCATCTTTGTGACTGGCTTCCTTCATTTAGCAGAATGTTTTCAAGGTTTATCCGTGTGGTAGTATGTAACAGTATTTCTTTTTTTTTTTTTTTTTGCCAAAAATATTCCATTTTATGGACATACCTCATTTAATATATCTATTCATCAAGTAAGTGATGGACATTTGAGTTGTTTGTACTTTTTGACTCATAAATAGTGCTGCTAGGAACATACATATAAAGTTTTGTTTTGATGTATATTTTTATTTCTCGGGTATAAACCTAAAAGTGGTATTGCTGGGTTATATGATAACTCTGTTTAACTTTTTGAAGAACTGGTGACAGTTTTTCTAGAGCAGCTATACCACTTATATTACCCTCAGCATATATGAGGGTTCGCATCTTCATGAATGCCTGTTAACTGTCCCCCTTGCAAAAAAATTTTAACCGTTCTTGTGCATATAAAGTGGTATCACATTGAGGTTTTGACTTGAGTTTCCTTAATGATTAAAGATGTTGAGCATTTCCTAAAAAAAAAAAGCTTCGTGACGCTGGGCATGAAGAAATATGACACCGATATCACAAAAAGAGCAAAATAAGAAAAATAGGACTATGTCATACCACAAACCTCCTGCATAGCAAAGAAGACAATTGAGAGTGAAAAGGTAACCTAAGGACAGGAGAAAATATCTGCAAACCATGGATCTGATATGGGGTTAATATCCAAGATATATAAGGAACTCCTATAACTGAATAGCAAAAACCAAACAAACAAAAACAAACCCAACTTAAAAATGTGCAAAGGACTTGAACAGACATTTCTCTAAAAGACATATAAATGGCCAACAGGTATATGAAAAGGATGCTCAACATCACTAATCATCAGGGAAACACAAATCAAAACTACAATGAGATACCACAGTCACATCTGTTAGGACAGACATTATCAAAAAAGAAAATAAAGTGTTGATGAGGATATGGAGAAATTAGAACCCCTGTACACTGCTGATGGGAATGTAAAATGGTTCAGCTACTATGGAAAGCAGTATGGAAGTTTCTAAAAAATTAAAAACAGAACTACCATATGACCCAGTAATCCCACTGCTGGATATTAATCCAAAAGAACTAAAAACAGTACCTTGAAAAGATATCTGCAGCATTATTCACAATAGCCAAGAGGTAGAAACAACCTGAACAACCATCAGTAGATGAATGGATAAAGACAGAGTGATATATACATATCAATAAACTATTACTCAGCCTTAAAAAAAAAAGGCTTGTCTTATGCTACAACATGAACAGACGTTGAGGACACTGTGCTCAGTCAAACAAGACAGTCACAGAAGGACAAATACTACATGATTCCATTTATATGAGGTATCTAAAGTTGTCAAACTCATAGAAGCAGAAAGTAGGATGGTGGTTGCCGAGGGCTGGTGGGGTGGAGAAAATGGGGAGTTGCTATTCAATGGGTAGATGTTTCACTCACACAAGATGGAAAAGCTCTAGAGATCTGCGGCACAACAAAGTGCATACAGTTAGCAATAACATATGTCATGTGTTTACTACAATAAAAAAGAAAAGATAACCCAGTCCTCATCCAAACCTAGCGACAGTTCTTATTGCTTTGATAACTGCTTAGGCCTAAGTAGCAATGGAGGGAAAGTCAAGTTGCTCAGCCTGAATAGGGGAGTCTTAGCTGCTAGTACATGTTATTGTAAAACATCAACAAGAAAGCAAAGCCATAAGCAAGGAAGAAAGTTCTTACCCTAGCTATCTGTCAAACTTCTTTTAAAAGAGTAATGGTAGGGCTTCCCTGGTGGCACAGTGGTTGGGAGTCCACCTGCCTATGCAGGGGCCACAGGTTTGATCCCTGGTCCAGGAAGACCCCACATGCCACGGAGCAACCAAACCCATGCGCCACAACTGCTGAGCCTGCGCTCTAGAGCCTGCGAGCCACAACTACTGAAGCCCGTGTACCTGAAGCCCGTGCTCTGCAACGAGAGAGGCCACCGCGATGAGAGGCTCGCGCACCGCAGCGAGTAGCCCCTGCTTGCCGCAACTAGAGAAAGCCCGCGCGCAGCCACAAAGACCCAATGCAGCCAAAAATAAACAGATAAAATGAATGTAAAAAAAAAAAAAAGAGTAATGGTAGTTTGAAGGCCAAATTACACTATACTCATAGTAAGCAAATCTTGTTTTTAATCCTGCCCTGTATATGCGGGGGCACACGCACACACAGGGACACAAAAACAGTCTTTCAATGTAGCACAACTAGCCAAGAGTATGAAGCTGGCTTACAAAGTGTTACCAAGGGTAAAAGAAGAAATAACCTTAAATTTCCTGCCACAATAGCCTGTATTTCTACAGTGCTCTGGTGAAATTCTTATAAAAGACCTGAAAAGACAAGACAATCCTCTCGAGTTCCAACCAGCACCACTACTACCCACACAATAAGCTTATCTCTTACGATGGTAAAGATGCAGTTCCAAATAGAGGCTTTCAATATGTTTCTAACTACAACCCACAGTAAGAAATGTATATATTATTCATATCTATAAACACATACATATCTAAATAAAGTTAAACAATTTCATCAAATAACATAGTTTAAAGGTATATTACTACATATATGCACCTTAATATCTTTATTTGCGGTCTAATTAACACTGTTTGTAGTACCAAAATAAATTTCACAAACTACTAACGGGCATAACCTACAGTCTGAGAAACACTGTACTAGAAACACAACACTGAACGTGCTACACAATTGCAAGGTTCCAAAGCACATGGCAAAATGCCTATTAACAATGACACTGGGACCTGCTCACAGATATTTACACCGTTGCGCTCTTGGTATATAGCTGCTTGAATCATTTAAAAGCTGCTCTTTTCTCTGCGAGGTAAAAGGAAAGATTAGATTATTTTCCCAGAATTCTACTGGCTCCCAAGGTATGCACTGGAGATAAACTCTATCTGAGAAGTAGTTCCAGCATGCAATTAGGATTTCTCCAAAAATATAAACGTTAATGTCATTACTAAATCATGGCTGAATTATAAAGGATATATGGTAACTACAAAAACCCATTTCCTTTCTTAAATAAGATAGAGCAGCTTAAGTACGGTTTTACGTGTCAACAGAAAGGGCATAACTAATTCCTAGCTACCTTAAGAATAAGAGACTTCAAAATCTTACAAATGTGCTCAGGGTTCCTTTTCAAAACGCCATCTTCTCTCCAGCAGAGTCCCCGTACTCTTTCTTTTTATTATCCGTCCTCCAGCTACATTCCCATAAATTTGTTTTACTTACCATCCTTCCACTTTAACTTACTTTTTTATGATGGGAAGAAAGGGCAGATGCCTCTACAAGAGGCTCCAAATCTCCTTGGTGGATGTCATCGTCACCTCCCTTTGTACCATCAAGTTGGTGCCCTTTTCTGAGCCTTATATCTGGCTCTGGAGTCCTGCTGTACTCCAGTCGGTTTTCTGCTGTCTCATTCATGGGATATCCACGCCTTTCTTACAAAGAGGTCTTTCTGTTCCTTCTTCTTGGGAGGATGGACTTTTAGGATAGTGAGTTGACCCTAAGGAGAGAAAGTTTTGGATTAACATATTTGAATGAGTGATGGGGGAAGACATATGTTGTATTATTTTACACTAAAACTAGAATTTTCTGCAATCATTAAGAATAAAATAATAATGTATTAAAAAAAACCTACACTTGTTGATAAAGAGGACTGCCAAAATCTACTTTTAAATGAAAAAAGCAGGATATCAAAGACGACATGTATAATGTTCCCGCTTATACATTATAAGTGTATACAATCGTGAATACGTGCACATGTGTACACAGGTACCTATTTATTTGAAATTGTGCTCTTGGTCCAGAGGCACACAGGGAAGAACCTAGGGTCTGTGGTGAGAAGGCTTACTCTTCATTTTGTTCTGCCTGCATTGTATTTACCACATGCCATCTAATACTTTTTCAATTAAAAACAGACCTAACTGTAGAAAGAATATATGTGGAGTTTATGTACTACAACTAGGTTTTACATACCCAATCTCATTTAAATCATCACAATGACCCTTCAGGGTATTTTGAGTTCTACTTCACAGGTGAGGAAACCAAAATTCACCATACTTTTATGAACTAAGACAACGTCTCTGACTGCCATGGCACATATTATTGGTTATGTTTTGCATTTAAGTTGCTTAATGTCTGAAATTTCAGTATTTCTGAGCTGCTTTGAACTCCAAGTAGATTACTCTGGAAGGCAAGAGCACACTCCTATTATATCCCTGAGTTCCCAGAAAGTACTGCGCACATAAATGTTTAATGAACATGACAGATGATATTTAAATGTTCTTAAGTGGTAAAAACACATTCAGAGATCATCAATATTTCTCTAAACTGGATCACATAAGTTTCCTAGGAGTTCAATAATTTCAAGTCCTTGGCCCTCTACCTCATAACTTACAGGACAAAAGCTTATTTTAGAGATTTAAGTTACATATCCAAATAAGGTGATTATCACAGCCAATCCAACTAGAAAGACAAAAACAGGAAGAAGCCAAGGTACATGTTATGCTCATAAATCCCATGGGATTCAAAATTTTTACTGCGGCAGGGGAGGAGTGGGGCAACGTGGGAGGGTCTGGATAGCATGAAGAGAGGGTAAAACAGGCACTTAGTGTTCACATGTGGATACACAAGACTAAGAATTAGCCAACTGTTAGTTTCATAAATCATCAGAGTTTGTTGTAGGAGTTCTCTCAAGTTTTTAGAACAAGAACAAACACAGTCTTTAAGGATCACCAAATCTGGGCCTGTGCCTATCACAGAAGGGCCTGAGCCAGCATATTCTAATAATGAGATTATAAACTACGCTATTAATACCCAATGCTGACAGAGGAAACAATGCTAGGGATTTATATTTATTTACAAAGCTGTTTCACACCCACCATTTCACTTTGTTTCAGGGAAGAGGGAGCTAACATTTACTGTGGATTGACAAAGTTAAATTCTGTACCAGAGAATTTACAGATGGTATCTCACATAATTCTTACATATGGCCCTCTGAGGTGTCTTATCCCCATTTTACAGATGTGGAAACTGAGGCTCAGAGATTAGGCAACTTATCCAAGGCCACTAATCTCTAAGAGTAGCTGGAACAATGAACTGTCCTGCTGTACTTGGATAAATGATTTTCTTGCTAAGAAGAATAAAAAATAGGGAAAGCATTCAGAACTAGGCTTTAACTTGCTCTGCTTCTTAACAGTAAAAGGAAGTGAGATGGGAGATGGAAAGTAAGACTTCAGAGTACCATTACCTGTTAACCAGAAGAGTTAATCTCTATTCTACTTCCTCAGAAATTTTTCGTTGGTCAGGATTCTAAGAATACTACGCTATATTACACAGAACTAAGATAAAAAAAAAAAGAGAAAAGAGGGCTTCCCTGGTGGCACAGTGGTTGAGAGTCCGCCTGCCGATGCAGGGGACATGGGTTCGTGCCCCAGTCCGGGAAGATCCCACATGCCGCGGAGCGGCTGGGCCCGTGAGCCATGGCCGCTGACCCTGCGCGTCCGGAGCCTGTGCTCCGCAATGGGAGAGGCCACAGCAGTGAGAGGCCCACGTACCGCCAAAAAAAAAGAGAGAAAAGAAAGGAATCCAATACAAACAGCTGGCAGGAAGGAACAAGTAACTGAGAGGTGCTCTGAATTTATCAATAGACATAGAAGTCCAACACAAATCCAATCGGGTGCATTTTCAGCAAGTAGGGCAGATCTAAGGTCTTTTAAAATCTCTGAGTGGCCAGTGGGGATGAGGAAAGAAAGAAAATACTAATGTGAGTTTTTCAATTCCTACACCTCCTCTACAGGTTGCAAGGCCTCTTGCCCCCAATATCTAGATTAAATATACTTTTATTGAATGAATTATTATACCTGCAGTGTTTACTGGAAAAGAGACTCATTTTCTGTATAAAATTGCTTAACATGCACCCTATTACTTTTTTTTTTTTTGCGGTACGCGGGCCTCTCACTGTTGTGGCCTCTCCTGCTGCGGAACACAGGCTCCGGACGCGCAGGCTCAGCAGCCATGGCTCACGGGCCCAGCCGCTCCGTGGCATGTGGGATCTTCCCGGACCGGGGCACGAACCCGTGTCCCCTGCATCGGCAGGCGGACTCTCAACCACTGCGCCACCAGGGAAGACCTCCTATTACTTTTTAAGAATGTTTTCACAAACTAATTTAAGTATTGGCATAAATAACATTTAAAATCTGCTAAGGCTTCTTCCCGGTAGACAGAGTCTGTTCTACAGATGATCAAATATGAAACTATGAAACAAAAGAAGTAAAATGGAAACTTGACCTCACACGTTCTAGGAGCAGACACACAGGCGTCACTAACTCTGCCCAAAAGCAATGGGGATTTGCCAAGCAGAGTAGAGGAAAGGTATTCTCTACAGAGAAAACAGCATATGCAAGGCAAGGACTCCAGGGTCTGTTCAGAAATCAGAGAACAGGGACAAGAAAGAACTCAGATGACACAGGCTTTTTGCTCAAGCAGCTGAGCGTATAGAGGATGCCATTCACTGATGATCCAGAGGAGAAGCAAATTCACAGCAGAAGAAGAATGAATTTGTTTTCAGAAACGGTGTCTGAAGTGAAAGAAATGTTCACTTGGCACCAGGAAACATAAATCTGGAATTCAGAAGAGAGAATGAGCTTGAAAACAGAACTACGGATTACTAGGAGTAAAAGTGATAATACTAGGGACTTCCCTGGTGGTGCAGTGGTTAAGAATCCGCCTGCCAGTGCAGGAGACACAGGTTCAAGCCCTGGTCCAGGAAGATCCCATATGCGGCGGAGCAACTAAGCCCGTGCACCACAGCTACTGAGCCTGCACTTTAGAGCCCGCAAGCCACAATTGCTGAAGCCCACACACCTAGACCCTGTGCTCCACAACAAGAGAAGCCACCGCAGTGAGAAGCCCACGCACCGCAACGAAGAGTAGCCCCCGCTCGCTGGAACTAGAGAAAGCCCGCGTGCAGCAACGAAGACCCAATGCAGCCAAAAATAAATGAATTTATTTTAAAAAAAGGAAAGTGATATTAGCATAATAATAGTTAACAACACAGGACAAAATCCTTTGGAAAAAAAAAAGTTATACAAAGGACTGAGGAGGGATAAGGATCAAAGTAAAAAAAACCCAGGAGAATACGAAATATTAGATGTTAAAGTCAGGACTGGACCCTCATCTGTTGACTCCCAGTCAAAGGTACTCACACCAAGTTTCCTTCCCAGGGGGAAAGCAATGGAAAATTTAAAACTCACGCTTCTTAGACTTCACTTTCCCTTCAAATAATACTGCATAAGGTAAATTATTATGTTGCTTAAAAGCACCAAGGTTGCTTAAATGGTAACTCAAAAGCACTTTTCTCTACCTGAACAAACTGCTAACTTAATGGTTTGATACTTCTGGTCTAGAAATTTAGCTCTATCCCAGGAAAGCTATTTTCTAAAATCCAGTACTTGTCTGCATGTTCCATGAGGCAAGAGTTTGCTTGCTCAATGCTGAGAACCAAACTGCAACAGATACACAGTAGACATTCAATAAAGGTTTCTTGTATGAATGAATAAATGTCTTATTCTCCAGGGGAAAAACAGAAGAAAAGGAATTAGTATTATTTATGTCATATTTAATCAGTTATATTGGACTTCCCGCCAAAGGTAGACTATATTATAGTATAATGTATTACTTCACCTATTTCATAATTTTAATTGTTATGTTGCCCCCAATTTTAAAAGAGCAGGCAAGCTGTGGAAAATAGTATGGCAGTTCCTCAAATAAATTAAAAATACATTTACTATATGACCCAGCCAATTCCACTTCTGGGTATGTACTCACAAGAACTGAAAGCAGGGTCTTGAAGAGACATTTATACACTGATGTTCATAACAGCGTTATTCACAATCAGTAAAACGTGGAGCGGCCCAAGTGTCCATCAATGGATAAACAAACAAAATGTGGTCTATACATACAAGAAAATATTCAGCCTCAAAAAAAGAAGAAAATTCTGACACAAGCTACAACCTGAGTGAACCTGAGGACGTTATGATTCCACTTACCATAGGTTATTTAAAGTAGTCAAATTCATAGAAAGTACAATGGTGGTTGCCAGGGGCTGGGGCAAAGAGGGAATGGAGAGTTACCGTTTAATGGGTATAGCTTCTGTTTTGCAAGATGAAAAAGAAGAGTTCTGTAGATGAATGGTGGTGATGGCTGCAACAACATGGGTCTACAACATGACTACACACTTAAAAATGGTGACGATAGTAAATTTTATGTTATGTGTATTTTGCACATTTTTTAATGGGGGGGTGGAAATATACTATAGTACTATATGGCCTCTTCGTCTAGTAAACTTTTTATTTATGTAAAAAATACATTCAGAAAAGCACACAAAGGACACAAAGTTGACAAAGTATAAATGCTGTGTAACCAGCAACAAACAACATTCTAGCACCCAGAGGACCTCTCTCCCCTATCACTGTAAAGCTTTTTAAGGTGTTAAGTTTAAGA